GAACGAAGATTCCGAATCCTGTTTTCCGGGCGCATTCGCAAATTTCACGTCAATCGCTTTGCCAAGTACATGTTTGTGTTTATCTCGAATATTTTATCTAGAACGTCATGCACTAATAATTCGTAATCTGACTAGGGATGCATATGCAATAGGTCTTTTCACGATTATATAATTCATGATTCTTTAATCCAATCAGATTCTTTAATTTCGTTAGATACCAACGTATTAATAATCGATCATACCCTTGACGAGGTTATACAATCGTTTTGGTGTTTCGCTAGGTCTTTCTAGACAAAAATCTAGTATTCAACTTACCTTTTTCCACAGTAACGTAGAGAGTAAATAAACAGCAAATTTGTCATTAAATTAAATTTGTTGAATTTAAATGAAATGAATCGTTTTGGTAAAAATTCTTCGGCAGATATTGACGAAGCAATTGACAACTTAAAGCCATTGAATACAACAAAAACTGAAAATTACATTTGGAAACAATTTCAAGAGTTTTGCAAGCAACGGAACTATGGGTTAACGGCCTGGACGTCTAATGATGAATTGGGAAATATCTTGAAGGACTGGGCGTTTAATATGAAACGGAAAGATGGGTCAGACTACAAAGAAGGAGTTGTGAAGAATATATGGAACGTGAGTGCCAAGCTTCTACAAGAGGAAAACTTCAAAAACCACAATCGAAAAATCGATCCTTTCAAAGATTTGGCATTTGAAAGGGCCCGTAAAGCTCGGTCAACGAAAAGAAAGCAACTTCAGTTAATACCGGAAAAAATGAAAGCTAGTTCTGCGGCTTTAACAAGAGACGAGATTCTAAAAATCATCCAGAATTTTGACGAAAATACGCCCGACGGCTTACAGAAAAAAATTTATCAGATTGCATCTGTAGAGCTGGTCTGGAGTGGAAATGAAGCAGCATCATGTGTGGTTAATTTTTTTAAAAAGGAATTCAATAATTACGGCTTACCAACGGGTCGCTTGGAGTACAACACAATTTTTGGAAAAACAGCTCAAGGAGGCGACAAAAATCTCGTCGACAACAAGTGGCTGACACCGAACAAAGAAAATGAACATTTTTGTGTCCACTGAGGTTGTATGAAAAAATGATGTTCAAGTGCACCCCGAACATCAAGACGAACCGGTTATTTTTAACACCAAATAATAATTGGAAGGCAACAAATGTTTGGTACAAGAACTGCCCTGTTGACGTAAATTACATAAATAAATGGACACGTTTAGGTGCAGAGAATGTTGGAATAGACACAAAAAAGGCAAGAATCACCAACCATTCTAACCGTTCATCCGCAGTGAGTGTATTAGCAAATGCTGGTGCAAATTTGCAAGAGATTATCAAAGTAACTGGTCATTCTACACCAAACTCGTTGAAACCATACTTAAAACTCAACGAACAGCATCATACCAAAATCATCAATCAAATTCGGAACAATCAAAATGTTTCGTCTTCATCAGTGCCATCAACGTCCTCCCATCAACAGCAGGAACCTATTAATAAGCGATTCTTTATCAATCACAATTGTCATCGTCCGATTCTCTCAATTTCTAATTCGCACAGCCTTTGGATTAAAAGTCATGTCGTTGATAGCGCCAATTTTCGGTAAGGACTGTCCGTTCTACAGTTACCAAAAACATATGTATTTGTTGCAACAATTCGTAATAAATTCATTCCTATTGTTCCTTCCGTCATTTTATAATGTTTATTGAAGTAGTGTGTGTATTAAACATACTAGTTCGAGTTAAATAATAGCGGACAAAGTGGCAGCTGTCATACTTTACCGACTATCCGACGTAGTAATATTAGTATATAGTATTATACAGGGTGTCTCAGAAATAAGTACATTAATTTTAACCAGTAACAGAACTCGTGAAACAGAACAACTTTTTTATCTAGCATTTTTTCGAAAACTCAAGTTGAATTTCGAATTTTCCCACCCATATATTCACGAGTCGTCTATGTTCACCTTAAATAATAACTTAAATAATAACAACACTACAACAATGAAGAAGGTACCCTAGCAACCGTTTTGACACTGACAATCATTTTTATGTCAATGTTTTTACTAAACGTTGTCTCTTTAAAGTTTGTTTGGCACAGATTTCTAATTTATAGACGAAATCTGTTGAAATGACTTTCTTTTCAAATTTGGAATGTACCGATACCGTTTTAACGTACGGTGAAGCTCGGGGAAACGGCACTCGCGCCCAACGAATTTTTTCAGAAAACTTCCCAAATCGTCGTCTGCCAAATGTGCGCAGTTTTAAGAACGTTGCAGCATTTTCGAGAGTACGGTTCTTTTAAACCTGCACCTCAGGATCGAGGTAAGTTACGTAGTAATAGAATTGCTAATATTGAAGAGGCTGTTTTGAAGAGTGTCGAAGCTCGACCAGGCACTAGCACGTATCACTGTCGAGTGTGATGTATCGGAGAGTAGTATTTGGAGGATACTCAGAGAACAAGTGTACCCCTTTCAGGACCAGAAAGTTCAGTTTTTGAAACTAACAGACTTACCACGTACGCAAAACTTTTGTGAGTGGGTTAATAGAAAAATAAACGAACAAGCAAATTTTGGAGATACGTTTTCTTCCATAAAAATTGAACTTGTCCATTGTAACGTGTGATAAAAATTTGTAGTGTAACTAAAAATGTCCTTTGGCATATATCATTATCCGATAAAAGTTAATTTTTGTATGAACCTTTTGCTTATTCCGTTAAGTGAAACTAAAAAACATATTTTCAATTATTTTTAATAAACCATACAAACATTGTAGCTATTAAGATAACAAGTGTTTTATAGAGAGTTTAAAATCGAGGCCGATCATGTTAAAATTCGAGCGAACCGAGAATTTTTGATCCATCGAGATTTTAAATTCTTTATAAAACACGAGTTGGCTTCAAGATTTTTTCAAACACTAACACGTTAATAAGTTTTTTTATCAATATTTTGGCAAAATTTATTTGTGGCGTCGCAGTAAGTGAAGGTTGCCGCGAGTTGTAACTATAGTAATAATATAAATAAATTGAGACAAAGGTTTTTGGAGACAAAAAAGACCAGGATGTTATGAGCTGAATATTAATCTAGCCCAGATACCAGCAGAAATACTGGTGAAAATTTTCAGTTTATTAATTGTGTTTTTAACTTGTAATACTCGTAATTGTAGAAATAATAAATAAAAACTAGAATTATGCGCAGTCGTACTTTATAAAGCTTTAAGATACGTTGCTATTAACGACGTATTTTATAACCAATTTAAGAATCGAATTCAAATGCACCATAGAAACAGCATAAAGTGTTAGTGTTTGAAAAATATTACAATAGACACGTATAAAATAAAATGATATATAATAAAAGCCTGCATGTCGATATTACAAGTAAACAGATTTATGCATTCTATAATATTCGAGAATTTATTCAAGATAAATTTGTCAGTGAAGACTAATGTACTTGTAAATAATATATTATATGCCAAGAGACTAAAGCGCACGATCTAATCCCGAAAGTGGATAACCACTTGAGGGATTACATCGCACTTTAGTCTTGTGGTCTATAGATACTAAATTTTAAATTGGAAGAAAATATTCGAAATAACCTATCAACAATCGCGATAGTAAGCCTTGTCGGGTAAGCAAGAAAAATTTATACTAATTATTATATTATATACAGGGTTAGTCACGAGAGAATTACTTCTGAAAATTATTTTTACGCAACCCAAAATACGAATACCATGTACCATTTGATACTAACTGAATTTAAAATAAAATGCTTAATCCATGATTGCTTTGAGTTTGGCAATCTCATTTTGACAATTGTGGAAAAAGAGGTTACGCGAGTGTCCATGGTGGTACCGCAGCCAGTCGGAAATCTCCTCCGGCGCCGCTAATAAATTTGTCAGTGTGCCTCTTGATCTTTTGCAACCGATTAATCACGAGAAAATTATTTCTAAAAATTCCTTTTACGGAATTTTATTCAAAGGTTACTACACAAACTCAAACAAGTAAGTAAATAATTTAACTACTAATCTGTTGAAAATGTTGGACATTTTGGGGGGATGCTACGGCTTTTTTGTAAATGGATGGCCGAAGAAGTCCAGAGGTTGCAGATTTGCACTTCGAAGAGGCTCTAGGTGACGCAGAGATGGCGAATTAACACATGCACATTAGCGGCGAACAACATTGGTAGAGCACTTACGGCTTCAGTATAGCCCAGATTGATCTGACTGTATGTCGTCGATCGAATGGGGCTCTAGAGGCGAGTCAACGATGAAAAAAAAATGTTAAAAATTAATTAACGTCAAAGTGACACTGCCAAAGTCAAAGCAATCATGGATTAAGCATTTCATTTTAAATTCAGATAATATCAAGTGGTACAGGGTATTAGTATTTTGGGTTGCGTAAAAATAATTTTCAGAAGTAATTCTCTCGTGACTAACCCTGTATATTAATTTATATATTACTGAAACATTATTTTCGTAATCCCATAGTGTTATTTTAATTTTATGGGACTTATATGACAAATAAAAAGTCATCCATTGCGGCCGCCAGCCGTTAAGGGGTACAACGGCCGTTGGCTGTTACCCTTTTATAATAATAAGCAATTTTGAATAGAGTTCTTATAAAACTATATTTTGTTTATAAACTGATCCATGGTAACGAAGCCCAAAACAGGGGATGCTATTTTTTAGAATTAGAATGTTTTTTTCGGAACCCAAATAAAAATTTAATTTACATGGGATACATAGGGGATTACGAAAAGTATTGAGCGACACACTCGGTTGATTATAAACCTCGGCTTCGTCTCGGTTTACAAACTTCAACCGCGTCCGTTATTTGCTCGTTTTCGGCCTTGTATCGTTATGCCGGGTGTCTCTTTTATTTGATACAACCCCTGTAACTTTTTTATTTTTAAAGATAAATCTGTAGTTCTTTGAGCAAATCGTTTAACGTTTGCACAAAATACAAAAAAAAGAAAACTTCAGGACCCATATATAAAATTATAATACGTAAGCCCTATGAATTTTATGGTGATCTACGGCTTTGAGCACATGAGAAAATGAAACAATAGAATGAATTTTATTTTTTACTGTTTCCGTGAAATCTTCCAAACATTTTATAAAACTTATCGCTGCTTAGTTCTTTCATAAGGCTTTATTTAAAACAATGAATGACTTAATCATTTCAAAAATTACACTAAAAAAATCATTTTTAAACCACCGGCTATACAAAAGCTTTATTTCACTTGATGCAATTTCATCTGGCTCAGATCAGGTAAGTAAAATCGATAATATTACACGATCGAATGACGCCAATAAAATACAAATTGAGATAACAAATGAATAACTTTCACTGTCTTTTTAATATTAAAAATGGAACTGACGAATGGCGAATCCCAAAATCAGAACAATTAATACGGAAAATATAATCGAAAGTGTAGCTAGTAAATAAAAAGTACAATTTTCAATTCTCATTTTTTATATGATAAAAAAGTTAGAAAAATAAATGCAGTTCACTAAAAGTTTTGCCAATGTAGAATTCAGTGAAGCGGGGGAAAATAAAATTCATTGTACCGGAGAAGTCCCCTGTACTTAAAACCGTGGGTCATCAGTACACGTTTCGATAAAAGCATGCCACTGGCGTAAACATTTAGAGTCGGTCCCTGTTCAATGTCTCATACAACTGTCACTGATGTGTGCGTTTACCAAAAAGGACTTTATAAAAAGGTACATTTACATTGCAAGTTGCAAGTACAGTTCATGCGCCCTCCTAACATCCTTCCTCCAAGAATTAACACAATGCTGTCAAAGTAATGATTCATAGGTTGCTGATAATAATTAATAGTTGTTGTAAAACCAAAGGTTAGTCATATTAAGTCTGTACTGTCGCTTTTTCCATGGGGTTGTTATAAGTAACGACAGGGTTCTTGTAGATCGGATTTTCTTCTGAATGTTTTGATTGCTCACGAGCTCTCAGAAATTCTTGATACTCTCGCTTGTCCCGAATCCAGTTTCTTCCTTTCCACACAACGATAATGATAAATGCAAGTAATAGAAAAGCCCCTATTATTAATCCAACAAGTGTTCCTGCAGCCAGAGGTGCATTACAAATTGGTTCTGTTGCTTTTACAAGAACTGAATTATCTTTCCAGATTGTATTATATGTATAAAAAATATCGCACTTTTTGCCATCCTGTTCATATCGATGGACACAGGATCGTTTTTCTTCTGGTAGATCTTCAACTATTTCAACGCGCACAGGTTTAATTTGTTGATTCCTGTTAATTACGTGCTCGATCACTTGTGAGTTGAATCTGTTGCATAATCCCTGACAACCATCACAGTTTTCACAGTAATGTCCTGAGGAGCCCTTGTCACATTCACATGTATTACAGTTGCACGTGCCTTTTCCGTTACATATGCTATCGTTTCCATCATATCCGGGAATTTTACAGTTTTCTATAGAATTATGACATGAACATTTTTCGCCACTGTAATTTTCTTTACATTCACAGGTACCATTTGTACATATACCGTTACCTGCACACACTTGTTGGGTCGACTTGTCATATGGACATTCCCACTCGCAAAACTCTCCTTGGTAACGTTTCGATTGACAATTACATTTGCTGCAGATGCAGTTGCCACTGAAAATAAATGTTTAATGTACTGTGCAAATTGTGACATTGTTGCAACTATTAACAATTTAAAAGAAGAACTGGCTGGAGTCAAATCTGAACTGAATGAATTGAAAAAGTCTCAAGGTAAGACTCTATCACTAAATATTGATGGAAATTGAGGACAGAAATCATCGTGTAGCCAACCTCGTATTATTTAACTTACCAAAGTCTTCTGAAATGAATTCAAGTGAGCGAAAGAATGATGATATTCGTTGTCGAAAAATTGTTATTCCAGAGAACAAAAACAATGTTGTCAATATGCAAAATTGTATCCGGTTGGATAAATTCGATAATGATAAAGTACGTCTTGTGAATATAATTTTTGAAAACCCTCATCAAGCTATAGATGTTCTAAGAACATCATAAGCGTAGTGGCAATTTATACTTAAACAGAGACCTGACACCCCGCCAGCAGAACTACAAGGTGGTACCAGTGGTGGTACCATTTATGATATGGCTACCCTCCATAATTTTGTGATTAATGCCGGTGATATTTACAAAGCAGCAAGAAAGTGTAAATAAAATTTCACAATGAGTCCTGATAATATTCCAGCATTTTTAGTGAAAGATTGTATTGTTTGTTTATGTGAACCTCTTTGTTATATATTTAATTTGATTATTACTCAAGCCACTTTTCCAAATAAGTGGAAAATATCACAAGTTATTCCAGTTCAAAAATCAGGCTCTAGAAATAATATTGAATTTTATAAACCTATAGGTTTAATCTCTAACTTCGCTAAGTTGTTTGAATCCATACTAGCTAAAAATTTGCATAGTCATATATCTAGTGGATTAAGTCCTAGTCAATATGGTTTCGTTCAGTATAAATCAAAAAGTTTATGTGATTTCGTTCAATATATATCTAATGGGTTAGAATCCAAGGTGCAGGTGGATGTGATTTATCCTGATCTTTCCAAAGCATTTAATATTGTTAACCATCGTATTTTACTACACAAGGTACAATCTTTTGGGGTTTCTGATAAATTGGTTCAATTGTTTTCTTCTATTTTAGTTGATTAAAATGCCCCATCTATGTATATGCCGATGACTTAAAAATTGCTCACTATGTTTCCTCGGTTGAAGACTGTCGACTTTGGACTTTTGCAGGAGGATTTGAAGACTTTTAGCAAAGCGTGTATTGAGAATAAGCTAAAAATTAATGCAAAAAATGTAAAAATAACTTTTTCAAGATTACTTAACACCGTTCATTTTAAGTATGAATTGGATGACACTGAAATCGAAAGGGTTAATCAAATAAAAGATCTAGGTGTCACTAAGGATTCCCGCCTAACTTTTGTTCCCCACATTCAGGATATATGTGCACACGCTACAAAGATGCTTGGTTTTATGTGTAGAAATACGGTAGGCTTTACGAGTGTTGACTCTTTGTTAGTTCTATATTATACCTACGTGAGATCGAAATTGAAATATTGTTCAATAGTTTGGGACCCTTACTAAACGACTCATATTAATGTAATTGAACGCATTCAACGTAGATTCTCTAAACATTTACAATTCGTAATACATGTTTATTATCCTCCAAGATCTTATCCAAATGAGAACCTGTTGAAAGACTTTAAGTTATATTTACTTCATTAGTAAGACCGGCAGTCGTGAAGGTCATCACTAATTACACTTTCACATTCACCATGCTAATTAGCCGCGGGGCATTCATTAATTCCTCATTATCATTATCAAAAAATTCCATTAACTCTCAATCTAATTATTAATAAGATCATAATTATTTTTTTTTTGTGAGAGGAAGAGACACGAGAGACGAATTATAGACCTCTCAAGAAAGAAACCTACCAAATGAATACGAAATTCGTCTTTATGTACATATTGCATAGTAATTTTTTCAAAATTTTTGGACGTAACAATGGAATTTCAATATTGATCATAAGTAATAACGAATGCCCTGAGGCTAATTAACATGATGAAAATGAAAGTGTAATTAGACAATGATTTTCAAGATTACCAACATACTTATGAAACATAATTTTTGTTTAAATATAGGTAATTGTTAGAACCAAAATATAAAGTATATCAGTGTTTATGTATGAATTATTCTCAAATGTGAATGATTATTTAAAATATTGTATGTTGTAATATTATCAAATATAGATATTTCCAACAAGAAAAAATGCTGCCTAGTGGATACGAAATTCGTATTTCGCAATAATAAATTTTTCGCAAATGTTCTAAATATATAATATATTTAAAGAAAAATGTTTCTAAAATATGTTTTTGGTGTATTTACTAAAGGCAGAATTGTTAAATCCATAAAAGTCAGATTTATTTATTTCAAAGTTAGTACACCAAAATCACACACCGCACATCAACACATTACGAACACTGAACAAGAACTAAAGATTAAAGTTAAAAGTTTCGGTAAAGTTCCCCCTCCCCTTATTAACAATTTTCAATAAATCTAAACACGTCTCAACTCATGCTGTCAGAGTATTTAGGAAGTGAAAGCACTGGTAATTTTGTGGATTTTAAAGAAAATGATGTCTACATATTTGCAAGTAATTTGTCTGGCCAAATTGTCGCCAAGAAAAATGCATTTACAAAATTTCAACAACTACCATGAGCAATTTATAAAACAAAGATAATATATGAAACAAAAATATAGTTTAAATATAACCAACAAAAATGTGAAGTTGGTATGTATCCTATGTTCAGAAAAAATATGCATTTTAAAAATATGCCGTATTCTATGTTCTAAATATTTAATATGTGACTTTTATGGATTTAACAATTTTGAAAAGGGGACTGCTGTAATATTACATTTTGCCTTTGGTACACCAAAAATATATTTTAGATAAATTTGTGTTTAAATATATGTTTAGAAGTTTAGAAAATTTGCAAAAAATTTACTATGCAATATAAATAAGAATTTCGTATTCACTAGGCAGCCTTTTTTCTTGTTTGAAATATCTACCGTGAGGTTTTTTTCTCTCTTCCTATTTTTGGTGTACTTAATATTACAACACATAATAATTTAAATAATCATTCACATTTGAGAATAATTCATACATAAATAGTGATAAACTTTATATTTTAGTTCTAACAATTATTCCGGAAAAACGGTTGCAGTTATCAAAGGAACAAGACCGGAAGTGAGTTCTAGAGCTCGAAATCTACAAGAAAACGTATTTAGTTAAGTTTCGAAAATGTCAAAAATTGACCGAAATTTGAAGAAGGGAAGACCATTGAAAAAATTTCACTTTTAGAAAAGTCTTCTAAAAATTGCAAAAAATTCAGGGACGTAGATCTCGACATGCTGATTCAAAAAATATGGCGTGTTGATGGTCACGCAGCAACGTTTTCGAAAGAATCCGCAAGAAAGTTTACTGCCGAAAGTGGTAGTGGAAATTAAAGTAAAACCCTAAGGCTATTTTCACCGCCGTTATAAATATTCCAATTAGTTAGAGATACCTTACATACCAGGGATTTAAAAAATACCACAAATAATAAGGATTTTTTTTCTTTTGCATGACAATTTCTGGAAAAATAACTTTTCATCAGATAAACCAACATTCATTACAAATCTCAAAGATTCAGAGTTTCCAGAGGTTCTTGAGAAATGTGCGATTCTAGAGATTATGTAGATTCCAAGAATTCCAGATATTCCGTGGATTTTGGAAATTCTAGAAATCCAGAGAGACTGTACAGAAGGAGGGATTGCAGAAATTCTGCAGATTCTTGAAACCTAGAGATCAAAGATTTAGTTAGGCTAGAGATTTTAAAGTTCGTAAAAATAAAGGGGAATCCAAAAATTCTGGAAATTCAGAAATTCAAACGTTCGTTTCTAAAGATCCTAGACATATTTCTGATCACAGAGGTCCTAAAAATTCTAGATAATCTGAAATTCCTATAAATTCTCGACAATTTATCATAGCCTAAATATTATAAAATTTCTAAAGATTCTACATAGAAACGCAAGAGATTTTAACGATACCACCAATAATATTATGTCAAGTACCAAATCCAGCAGAAATCCACCATCATCTATAATTGCTGGAACCTTAATAAGTTGTGAACAACCATATCCAGAAAAAAGAATTTTTTTATCTTTGGAAATTCTGAAAAAATAACGTCTCATCTGGTAAATTCATGATCAAAATCACACATTACAAATCTCAAAGATTCGGAGTTTCCAGAGATTCTTGAGAAGTTTTGCGATTATTTAAAGATTATCTAGATTCCAAGAATTCCAGATATTTCAGAGATTCCGTAGATTTTCGAAATTCTAGAATCTACAAGTGTTGAAAATAAATATTGGAGATTCATAGACGAGAGAAAATATTTAAATTCTTGAAACCTAGAGGTCTTAAATATACTAGAGATTTTAGATACGTATTACAAAGGTTCTAGAAATTCAAACGTTTGGTTCTAGATATCTAGACATTATACATATTCCAAAGATTCTAGGTACAGACACGGTATATTCCAGTTATTTTAAAAATAGCACAAATAATACTATAAAATATCAAATCCAATAGAAACCCAGCGTCATTGGTAATTGTTGGAATGTTAGTGACTTGTCAACAACTATATCCAGAAAAAAAGGTTTTTTTCTTGTGAATAACAATTTCTGAAAAAATAATATCTCATCAAGGAAAAAACATTCATTACAAATTTTAAGATTCAGAGTTTCTAGAGGTTCTTGAGAAGTTTGCAATTCTAGAAATTATGTATAGTCCAAGAATTACAGATATTTCAGAGGTTCCGTGGATTTTAGAAATCCTAGAAACTCCAGACACTGGACAGTAGTATTAGAGATTCCGAAATGACAGAAATTCTGCAGATTCTTGAAACCTAGAGACCTTAAGGTAGACTAGGGATTAAACAAAAATTATGTTTCATAAGAATATTGGCAATCGTGAAGGTCATTTTCACTTTCACTTTCACCACGTTAATTAGTCTCAGGGCATTCGATATTATTACTCACGATCAATACT